CGCTTCCTGGAGGCCGCCCGCCCCGCCCCTCACGATCTCGTGACCCCCACAGTGCTGTTCTCCACGAGCTCAGCCTCGCGTTCAGGTATCACCTACCTCAAGACCTGCTGGGCGGGCCCCTTACCCCAATCACCCTTTAGGTCCGCCCGGCAAACCCCGGCTCCTCACCCGGGCAGGGGGCGCCCCGACGCGCCGCAGGCAGCCGCCGCAGCACCGGTTGTCAGGGTCCCAGTACTCCAGGCGGCCGCAGCGCTGGGAGGCCTCCCGCACCGCCGCGCGGTCAGGAGCAGCCCAGCAGTCAGGAGGCACTGGGGCCCCACCGGGAAGGGCCCGAGGGCCTGCAGCCGGGGAGCAGCAGGGGAGGAAGGGTGGGCATGGCGCAGATCCGGGAAACCAGGACAGAAAGAAGTGGGAGTGGGTGTGCAGGATCCCCGCGCCGCCGCCTCCCCGGAATCTCCGGCCCCCACATCCAGGGTCAGAGGCCACAGGGCCTCAAGATGGAGAGTGAAGATTCGAGCCACACTGCGCGACTCTTACCGATCTCTGCCATCTTCCTACCCTCTTTTTCCCATTTGAAAAATGGTGTAGTAGCACCCATCTCACAGGACTATGGCAAGAACGTTACTGGAATTCATGTGCTTTTAACAACGCCTGGCAGAGGGTTAAGTTTCCGTATTAGCTATTACCAGCTGCCAGCAGTTATGGAGGAGCCGGCCCTCACTCACTGGATACTGCTCCTGACTCCCAGGGTCCTTACCTTAGCTCCTAACTCCAGTCTCCCGTGGGGTGGGAATCGGTAACCTGCACAAACGGGGTCTCGCCTTCGAGAAGCCTCAGATGGAGGTGCTGAAGTTCCAGCACACTGGTGTTACCAGCCCCACTTGAGGGTTTCTGGGTCACGGACCCACTTCTTTTCTACATACTGTTTGAAGTTCTCAACTGAGATTGTGCTCAGAGCCCAGCCCCTCTTACCCTTTTAATCAGGAGATGTGGGGCGTGAAAGGAAACTCCAGCCCACAGCTAGGCTCAAAGCTATCAACCCACAACACAGAACTTTATTAGGGGTGGAAGCGGTGCTGAACATGGTGGGGCCCAGGATCCTGGGGAGTTTACAGAGTTTTGAGGAAGGGTACTGGCCAGGAACTGTGCCCATCACAAGTGGAGGACAAGAGGACCAAGGCCTCACCAGTGCCGTGCCTGTGGTCTGGTGAATGACGTCAGTTTCTTTCTCGTGGACAGTGACCAGTGTGGGGCCTCGGGGGTGACCTGGAGGCAGGAGTGGAGAGGAGAGTTAGTGCACTAGGGAATGGGTGGCTGATCCCTCAGGTCTGCCTCTGCTCTGGAAGGAGGCAGGGCAGGAGATGAAGTACCCAGTGTTCCTGGAGGTGGTCTCAGAATAGGTGCTTAGGGGCTGACTTGAGGTTTGGGATTCTGGAGTTTAAGCTGGTTCGGGATTGGGACTGACTGGATACAAAACACTTGGGACACGGTTGCTGGGACTCATATAGGGTCAGGCTCATCTCAGGGTACCTGCGCTGAGGTCCCCGTCCATAGAGCTGCCGCCTGAGGTTTGAGAGATGGGCCGCAGGTGCATGAAGTTGCAGAAGCCACCTCAGGTACATTCCCTGGGTAGAGGAGGGGCCGATGAAGAAAGTCACTGTCACTGACAGCCCCCAACACACAATATTCGGGGCCTCGGGTGCCCGTCCCACCTGAACTACCATACCCCATCTCGTACTGCTGACAACATGACTCCCGAAAGTCAGTGACAGGGACGGCTCAGCCTGCACAGCCTGCCCACTGAATCAGCTGTTGTTGAGTTCAGCCACCGCCCGCTTTGCATCTTCCTCGCGTCGGAACTGGGTAGAAAGTGTCTCAGGATCAGTACTCTAACTCAGAAATCTTCAGACTAGCTGTTCTGGGTCTGGACTGGATTTAGCACGGATCTCAAGCTGTGAGGTTTCAGAGGTGTCCGTGAGAGACTGAAATCCTGGGATCTAACGGGAGGGCAGCGGGCACCTTGACATAGACATTGCCCACAAGGTGGTCCCCCAGGTTCTTGCACACATTCATCTCTTCAATCTCCCCATACTTCTGCAGTTCCCTGAACACCTCCTGCAGAAGACCAAGGGGACCTCAGCCACATTCCAGGCCCACAGGAAACTCAACCCACCCTTGTCAACCCTCACCTCGAAGAAGTGAGGTGCTCCTGCACCTCCACAGCCCTCACACGACCTAGAAGAGAAAGTAGGGTGGGATGAGGGAGTGGCTTGCTTCGCGAGGGCTGTCCACCCTGCTCCCAGACCAGGCCCCTCACTCACTGAAAGGAAAAGGCGGAAAGGAGGGACGGACGCCGTGAGTCTGTTCACCAGGAAGCCAAATTTTATTTCAGAGCTGAGCTTGTATGTACATCAGGGGTGGTGTGTCGAGTGCCCACTGGTCGGGCCATGGTCAGGCAGGGAGAGTCAGGCGGGAAGTGTGAAGGAAGAGTCAATGCCATGGGGGAAGGGGAGAAATAAGGAAGCGGGAAGCACCCAATCATGAGGCGGGCCCTTGTCCTTGCCTAATATGGTAGTTTGGTGACACCTGGAATACATGTTGCATCGGCCGGGGCCCAAGACTGCAGAGTCAGCCAAACTGTTTTCCTTCATTCCCCCTCTTGTTTATAGGATCGTGGGTGTCGTTCTTTCTGGCTGCTTCGAGCTGAACACGGGCACCGTGTCCGGGAGAGGGAGCGAATGAGGCAACGAGTAATGGCTAGGACCTGGGGCAGAGATGGGCTAGGTGTCGGTAGCAAGAAGCAAAAAAATCGGGCGCAAAGTCCTAGCTGGGGAGGAGAAATGTCTAGGAAGGCGCCTTGTAACCAGAGGTCGGAGATTGTGTCATCCCACTGCTGAGGGGTCACCGGCAGGGGGTCCGGCAGCAGCACTCGTCTTCCAGAATGCCATTAAGGAGGGTGACGAAGTCCACCATATGTGGGACTGTCGACATGTTGGGTCTGATGATGATATCTGAAAAAGAGCTGGTGA